ATTCACCATCTTCTCCCATCCTTATTCCTCCTTTGTTTTCCGTCTTAGTAAATGGCACCCTCTAGTTGCTTGAGCCAGAAACCTTCCCCTTCCTTCACCCCAACATCCAGCATATCTCTAAAAATCTCCCTCAAATGGATGCCTAGCCTCACTTAACACATTTTCTAGAAAAACAACACTACTGATTCGCCTCCATCAGTTATTTAGGAAATATCCTAATCATATGGTAATATGCTGAGGCTTATAGCAGAGTGATTAAGAGCTTAGCCTTCACAGGGGTTCGAATCTCAGCTCTTCCACTTACTAGCTATGGAATGCCTCAATTTCTCATCATAAAATGAGAACAATATCTAACTGACACAGGTGTGGTGAGGATTAAACGATGTAAAACACATAATTTAAAACACTGGCACTGGCTGTCCCCCAAGGCTGCAGTGCAGCAGAGGCTGCTCAGTATGCAGTGGTGCCATGCAGTCCCACTCAGGCCCACCATAGCATGGGAACACCAATGGGCCAGACACTGGAGGGACCCAACAAGTGCTGGACTAGCAGGTAACCTGCTGAAGCAGGAGCCCATTCAGAGAGCCAGGCTCTGTGACCACCAGTCTCTGCAGCAATGCCCTCCTCCCACCAGTGTCTGACCCAGGCAGCGAGGAAAGCATGCCCACAGCACTGCCTAAGGATGCCCCACCATGGGCACCCACACCTATGCCCTCCTGCTTTGTGTGGCATTGCTGTCATGACCGATGCTACCCTGGATCCCGCACCATGAAGCATCAAGTGTTCTGTGAAGAGCCACAGCTGGACACACAGGGAGCCAAACCCTTGACCTTGGTGTCATAACACCATGACTTCATCTTTTTCAACCTGGATGCCCTTTATTTCTTTCTCTTGCATGATTGCCCTGGCAAGTACTTCCAATAGTACATTAATGCAATCCCCATTGAAATACCAATGGCTTTCTTGACAAAAGTAGAAAAAACAATCCTAACATTCATATGGAACAACAAAAGACCCTGAATAGCCAAAGCAATTCTACATAGACATACAAAGCCTAAAGCCAAAGGCATTACACTACCTGACTTTAAATTATACTACAATGTTACAGTGATCAAAACAGCATGGAACTGGCATAAAAATAGACACTCAGGCCAATGGAACAGAATAGACCCACGTACTTACAGCCAACTGACCTTCGACAAAGGCACCAAGAACATGCACTGGGGAATGTACAGCCTCTTCAACAAATGTTGCTGGGAAAACTGGGCATCCACATGTGGAAGAACTAAACTAGACCCATACCTCTTGCCATATACCAAAATCAACTCAAAATGGATTAAAGATTTCCCTATAAGACCTGACACTATAAAACTCCTAGAAGAAAACGTGGGGAAAACACTTCAGGACATAGGTCTGAGAAAAGACTTTATGAATATGACTCCAAAAGTACAAGCAACAAAAGGAAAAACAAATGGTATTATATCAAACTAAAAAGCTTCTGTACAAAGGAACAATCAACAGAGTGAAAAGACAACCTACAGAATATTTGCAAATTATATATCTGACAATAGATTAATATCCAGACTATACAAGGAACTCAAACAACTTAACTGTAAAAAAAAAAAAAATCCAATTAAAAAATGGGCAAAGGAGCTGAATAGACATTTCTCAAA